GTGGGCGTTGGGACGCTCGGGCCGGAGGGGGTATAGCCACAGCCGGCCGCGTAACTCGCTCTTAAACGTTTGACTTTCCTTCTTTTGAAAGGTTGAATAACCCGTTCTTGCCTCAAACAAATAGGCTACAACCAAAGATGTCCCCATCCGCAATATCAGGTATCTGCAAGTGTTAATTTGTTTGTAGCGTTTTCATCATTTAGTGACAGTCATTTGCAGAACAGTCTACCTTGACTTTATGCAGACGAAGACTAATTTTACTTGTCGTTTTATGAGCGTCATGGGAAATAAGCATGGGCAAATACATTTTATTGTGCTTCTGAAGGGTTAAAACCTAGATTAACCTTTTGGTGTTCCGTGTCCCGTGCTGTTTGGACTGCTTTTGTCACAGTGCTATCTATATGTTTTAGTCTGTGTTTTTGAGCTAGTCACAGATCTTTCTGATCCTTAATAAAACTTTTCTTTTTCTTCTTGAAACAGTCCCTGACATCCTTGAGGTTGTCGTCTAAAAGTCATCCCATCATCTGATTGTACTTAATATTCAAAAATTGTTCAAAAAAAGTCCTAGGCGTAGTCTTGGAACAAGTCACAGAGGCTCTGTTTCACACAAAACGCCTGTATGCTGCAATATAAATGCACCACTTCAGCAAAATAAACGAGAATCTTAAGAAATTCTAGACCATACATGGAGGAGAGTAGGCAAAACAAACACTGAATGGCAAGAGTAAGCAAAAGGAAATAACTCTTGCTAACCTTAAGCACAGACTCAAACGTTGTTCAGGTTCAATAGGCATTTTGGTACGGTGATGTTGAATGTGATTATGCTTCATGTCTTCTATCATGTTTTATGAACCCAAATCAAACGTGTCAATTCTGCATGTACTGCATGTGAAAAGTGAAATAGTTAGAAATAGGATTAGTAATAGTTAGAATGCTGAATGGAAAGATGCCCAAAGTAGCAGGAAAAAAGTTAAAAGTAAAGAACACTAGAAATCCTTGTTTCCCATTTGTAGGAGCTTGTGTGTGGCCAAAAATTGGGAGTGTCTGTGGAACTGGAATCTAGGGCATGGAACCCTGCCTTGCACAATTATTTCTTTAGCATGGAAACCTTACTAATTCTTTTCTTTTACAGTACAGTTGGGGTAATAGTTCCTATAATTTGTCTTTTAGACCATCTACCCAGGAAATGGAGGCATGAGTTTAACACATTCTTAAGGGACATTCCAATTTTCTTTTCTTCCTCTATGGGGAGAGCATCCTAATCACTAAGGCACACATTGCATGTAGTAGAGGAGCAAACCCTTTGGCCACGCCTATGATAAGCCCTAGAATGAAGTGCAGGATCACACAGTCAGAAAAATCACATGAGAAAGAGAAACTGCCTGTATCCCAGTGGTTAGGGCATTCTGGAGGGCATGATTCTGGTGGTCTGAAATTTGTTTCTAGGATCGTTTGTCTAGGTCTTGGGGAAAAGTACATAGGCAAGCCTGGCAGTGGGGAATTAGAATCCAGGATGGGGTTTTATTTTGTTTGTTTTGTAATCTCTTTTTCTTCTCCTTTCCTCACAAATATTTAATCATTCCATGCAAAATTACTTTAGACAAGGGACTCCTGTAGCACACAGTTTAGAACTTTTGGCCCTTTTTTTGAATGACAAGTTACCTGTCTTGGATTCCTTTGACAGCAAGAGTAAAATTGTAACTGCTGACCTGTCTGATGGTAAAAGGGTTATCTTGTTGAATACTAACCGGATCAGACCCTGAAGGAAAACTGAAAAGGAGTATTTAGTTCAAGAATCTCCGTGAAACTTGTATATGCAGCGCTGTCAACATTCTGAGCGAATGGGCTTTATTAGTATAAACTTGAGCAGTTTGGATGACTTTGGGAACAGACAGCTGCCAAGCAAGACTTGTAGTGATTTCAGTGTTAGATTTTTTTTGGCAAGATCTGCACTGATGATTCTTTTTATGGATCTGGCCTCCAAATATTTGTTTGTATACAGGTTTCTTACTTCTGTTGCAGAAAGAAGCTTATCTATTTCACTGAGTACTGAAGATGAAAAATGTTAACAATCATGATGCAAAGCAATATAGCACTAGTGGAAACTTGCAGTAATCCATATGGAAGATACAAATTTCCTTGTGTGCAGCAGGAAACTACATTTGTCACATACTCCTTGCAGTTTTGTCACCACAGTAACTTGCTTAAATGTAACCAAAACATTATTCTTCCTTGATATCATTTTGTGGTGTTTTTAGGCCCTGCACATCTCTTTAGGCTTGCTGGCAAGTGTTTCAGTTTCGTGGAGTCCACGTGAGTAATGGATTTGGACATTTGATTCTCTATATTTACTAGCTACAAACTAGTTCTTTATTTCAGTCTGAAACATTTCTTACTTTCTTCTTTTTTTTTTTTTTTTTTTTTTTTTTTAAGGTACAAGTATGAGTTTTGTCCTTTCCATAATGTCACTCAGCATGAGCAGACTTTTCGATGGAATGCCTATAGTGGGATTTTAGGGTGAGGCTTTTAGACCTTGAAGTTTTACCTATGTTGATAGCAGACCATTTTATAGATTGTCAAAAATGAGGTAGTTTTACAATTAAGATTGTTTTATTGGTCAGCTTAGGTCGCTGTAGTTCCCAAAGCATTATGCGTAAAAATACTCTGTCTTGAAAAATTCAGATTTTTTTGTTGATAAATACTAACCTCCTATTTTATCTAGAGGCTGATTAATAACCAGTGCCAACTGCAGGTGTGATATGTTCACGTGAGAAATTCAGTAATGTATAACTAGAGCTTACATTAACAAAGATTTCATGTCTGTTAACTATTTTCACTTTGAGTTGAATATAACCTTACAAAATGAAATGAGTGCTTTATGCCTAGTGGCTGTGTTAAACATATTTAATAAAAGACTCAATGCAGACCCAAAAAAAGTATCCCAAAGTATTCAAAGATCCCAGAGTATCCAAATCATAAAGCCTGAAATAAATTTAATTATAAACCAGAGCACTGCTTTAAAATTACTGCTTTTCTAAATATTTTGTATATAGATGTGTCTTTTTTTCCTATGAGCACAATAATTAGTGAGACAACATGAGAGGAAAAGGGTACATCGAGATGCTGAGAGTATCGTTGGCTTTAGGACTAGCAGAAGTAGAGACTAGTTTCTGTAGGTGCTCTCATCAGCACTGAAAATCCTGCAAACAATCCGAGTTGCACAGGGTACTTAGCATCATGGAATTTGTTGTGGCATAGAGCTATAAGCTGTATTTTATTGGATTTAAACATGGATTTGCAAATGCAAACCGTTTGCAGACTGAAAGCTGATCCAAAACTGTGCTCTCAAAGTGATGTTGATGTGCCCTATATAGCAGCCTGGATAACAAACCACTGTTTCAAAGGTCTTGGCTGTAAGAAATGGAAATACTGAGACAACAAAAATTTAAGTATATACAGTTAAGTTGAACATGGTGTAAATGTATTCCTGTTTTTCTTTCTGAGTGTTCACCTTTTCCTTTCCAGTAACTTAAAATAAAATGATGTCCCATTTTTTTCAGAATCTGGCATGAGTGGGAAATCGGCAACAACACATTTGTTGGGATGTGGATGAGGGAAGGAGACTCATGTGAAACTAAGAGCAGACAGACAAAGGTATAATAACCTAGACTACGCTAATTCAGATGGCATGACTCTCTACTCGCACTCATGACGCTCTAGAGACTGAAACGTTCCTACCTTGAAGAAGTCATCATTTAAGATGTGATATAAAACATAAAGATGATTTCCTGTAGGAGCTAGGATGGAGGAGGAAAACTAAAATCAGGATAAAATTTTGAAGAAGTTTACTTATGTATTCTCATTGGTTACTTTTAACTATTTTCCATGATAGAGTGGAATATTCTGGTATTATCACTACTGTAGAAACATACAGTGCTTTGCAATTTGTGTCAGGAAAAGTAAAGAAAAGGAGCTATTTGTTGAATTCAAGATGCCAGCCTATTGTGCTAAGAACATCCAGGAAAAAGGAGGGAGAAGAATTAGGCAGTTAACAACAGCATGCTGAAGAGCTAAGTAAGGTGTTAAAACAAGAGCAGAGGGCATGCAAGGAGAATTAAGGCAGGAGTCAAATATGTGGGAGTGGCACAGGAACCAACTCAAGAGAAACAGATGCTGGTGTGAGTATGTTTTAAAGAAAAAGTAAAAATTCTTATTTGGTGGAGTCGTTAAAATGTTCCTTTTCACATTTAAACAGCCTCTGTGCCAAGTAACTATTCAGCTAGAAAAAAGGGTGAGGGGGGTGTCTGACACTTGCCCGATGTGTGGCACATGATTTGCACGTGTCCTTTATCCTTTTATTCGTTAATGTTTTTCATTTTCCACCTCCCATTTCAGAGCGTTATACAGTTTTACAGATAAAATGAATGAAACCTTACATTCCCTGGTGATGTAGGTAGCCATCATGAAGAAGAGTTAGATGCTGTATAGTTCACAACAGACTGCTTTTCCTGTAGAAGATGTTTAGCGATTATAATGATGGGTGACAATGCAATACTTGAGAGGGGGGTGTATAGTTGGAATAATAACTAATTTGGTAATGGGATAAGGACAAAATATCTTGGCCAAGGTGAAAATATTTTGTACTGTAATGGAGGTGCCTTGTTAACAGCTTTTACTCCCATAGAGGCTGCAGAAAGAATTACTCTTCTGGTATGATATGTGATGCTGTGATTCAAATCTTTCACTAGCATTTAATTTTGAACAGGCAAAAAGTACTGGTTCTGCAAGTTTAAAGATTAAAACAAATTTCTACAGGCTAGATGTGTATTGTTCTCTTTATTTAGCACATTTTTGTTAAGTGAGTTATGCTTATGTCAGCTGAGGTTCTAAAGGGTATCCTATCACCCTCCTTTTTACTCTCATTTTTGCTGGAATTACGGTGCTTGGGAGTCCAAGGAACAATGATAGGTGGGGGGATCGTTTCTCATTAGAGGAAGCAATTTTCACGTTTGATACAATAATTGGAAGATGCACTTGCTATGATCCTTTTTCTGTGGGTGACAGCACTGAAGCTTTGACATGACTGTATGTACAGAAATACATCTGCGAACATTAGAAGACAGCAAACGGATCATCAATGCTGGTCTGGTTTTATGTGGAGGTGTTTCACTCATCTTTGTTTTTACTGATGTTTAGGTTCATCTTGTTTGTGGCAAGAGCAATAAATTGGCTTATGTGTCTGAGCCGACTACTTGTGTTTACTCTCTGACATTTGAGACTCCTCTTGTGTGCCATCCCCACTCTCTTCTAGGTAAGATTTAGAAAAATCATTTGTGTGTGGAGCAGCAGGCATATTATGCCAACCTCAGAGTGTAGATTTTTAGGTTCTTTTGAGTTTGTAACTTGATATAAACAAGTATCAAATGTAACATAACATACGAAGTGTATTTTAAATCCCAATCATTGTAACACATAGGTAGTTCTCAAATAAATTTTCATTGCTAGTTTAGATCTAGTGAGTGTGTTTTTTGTTTGGGTTTTTTTTTCCTTTTTTTCTTTTTTCTTGGACTGGTTGTAGGTATCAGCGCTGTAGTATCTGCTTATTTACTACGTTACGAAAGGGGAGAGCTCAGTTAGAATTACATTCAACAAAGAAATGAGACCTTCTGGCTCTAAAAAAGAGAAAAAAATTTTGGTCAGTGGCATTCTCCGGAAACCTTAAATGTGTGAAGCAGAATTGAAGTGTAACCCCAACTTTTCAAAGCAGTAGAGACTATGTACTCTATAGAAGCATCGAGTTCTTAAAGCAAATATGCTTGCGTGCTACTAGAGGAGCATTTAACTACTGCAGGACATTGCAGGTTTTTACATGGTTTGACTTCCATTTTTCAGTTTATCCGACCCTGACTGAAGCACTACAAAGGAAGTGGGATGAAGCAGAACAGCTTCTGTATGATGAACTAATAACTGACCAGGTTTGTTCATGTCGTCCAATTCTGTTTGGTAAAGAACAATTACAATGGCCAAACCTGGCTTCTGCGTTTTCTCCTTTTGCATTTATTCTGCAGTTGTCAAATAGTAATTTTTGTGCTCTGTAACTGCTGTAGCAACTGGTAATTGTAATGTTTTCTACAGTGAAGCTTGAGGAATTGGAATGGCCGGTGAAAATGACAAGCAGAGATTAGTGTTGGGTGGATTGATCCGTTGTCTTTTGGAAACTTTCTTTTTTAGGGATACAAAAAAATACTGAAAGAGATTTTCGAGGAAGCAGGACTTCTAAAGGCAACAGAAGAAAAGGAAGTTGAGAAACAGAATAAGAAAATAAGACTGGAATTTGGAACAGTGGAGAAGTGCAGTAAGGTAGAGAGCCTATTATTTACAATGTGGAATTAAATTGCCACCTTTTTACTATATGGCAGTATCAGTGTGACAGTATTATGTAAACACTCATTGGATTCAACTGAAATCTGTTCATGGGATTATTTTTTCTGGTTTCAATATGTAACCATCTGCATACAGAGTGATTTGGTATCCATTTTGCAGCCCTCAAGTCAAAAACAAACCAGCGCAACTGAATGCCCAATAAGAAGATGGCGGTTTGTGTAGGAACTACTGTAGGCACTTGGGTTATGAATACCTTATAAGTACTTTTTCTGGGCAATATCAGTGTGGAAATAGGAAGGAATTACTAGAGAAAATAAATGTGTAACCAGCCTTGGGAATGTTGACACTTCTCTCTGTGGACAATTACCCAGATTTGTGTCAGAATGCATTGGCTGTTACACAAGCAAAAGGCAGAATGATCTATACTGTGTGCATTTCTTAATTACTTTCCTGTGTGTGAACAGTCCTTCTGCAGCAGAATTGAAATGGGGAAAATCGAGGTAGACGGTGTGCTCACCCTAAAAGAGTGCCAGTTGAACATCAGAAAAAGAGCACGGAAGGGAATTAATTCATTATAATGCAGAGAAGAAGCTGCTGCTGTCATTTTATTTGAAAATGTAGCAAAAACAACACAGCACGTAGTAATTCCTGAATATAACCAAATAAACTGTGGTTAAGCTGATTATACTTATATAAAGATCACCATTTTGATGTGGTACTGTTAGGAGCTGGAATAGTATCTTTTTTTTTTTTTTTCCCAGTAGTTACAATACTGAATAATTCATACTTCTTTTTCTGGCTTTGTCATAGCATAATTGACATAAAGTTGTCTGTTCTGGTAACAACAGAATCTTAAATAGTTAATCTTTTGCTCTTTCTTGATTCGTGTAAAAAACAAAAGACAATAAAAAAATTTGGGCTTCTTTGAGACTTCAGATTTGTGCTTAGAGTCTCAAAAGTACTTAGCAATCGCTGGCTCTGTAAGTTAACAGAAACTGCTGAAAGTGAGAACATGAAGTTACTAGGTTAGGAGTTGAGGAGGTGACAAATTTCCACACTGTAGCATTATGATATAAAATAAAATTAGGCTGGTTCTGTAGCAAACTTATGAATGCAATTTTGTGCTATAATAAAATGCTAGTTAGAGGATAGATCCAAAATAGTTACAGAAAGCACCCCTAATTTTTACTCTCAGGCTTGGAAAAAGCTAGCTTCTGTTTTGGCAACATAGAAATATATCTTTTTATAAAATTTGCACCTTTTCTTGGAATAAACAGTTTATCTTTAAGATCTTTTGAACCAAGAGCTGTAACAGCTGTGCGCAGACCCATTATTTTTTTACAAACTCCCGTTTTATGTGTGCATTTGGAGAGTGGGAGAGCCATTTTAAATTTATTTTCTTTCTTAGGAATACAAGCAACTTTCCAAAGAAATAAAAAAACTGAAAGATTTATTAAGTCAGCACGGTATTGCATACAGAGGAAATTCTGGTGAGTTTTTTGGTATTGTTCTTTTTCATTATTGTCTATTCAGAATGCGAATACTCATGTTGTTTTCAGTTACAGCAAGGATTAAATAATCTGTCATATATGGAGGTAAAATTCAGTAGACAAAGTTTATAATAAGTACTTAGGTCACGATTCTTGTGCAAGAGGACTTATTTTGCCCCCCCCCAAAAATCTGTTGATGACTTGAAATTTTAGCTTTATAGAAAAATTTTGACTGCTGTTATAATTGAAGTTTGTCTCCAGTACTTAAGATGCCAAAGAAAAATTGAATCAGTCTTGCAGCGTTCATAGCACATCAGTGTCTTTTAAAGTAACTCCACTTTCTGCATAGTTAACCACAAGGCTTGACTTCTTCAAGAATCAAGAATACTTGAAATGTTCTCTGTATCTGTTTGAATTGGTTTTATCCTTTCTTAGTCACCTTTTTTTTTTTTTCCCTCTCTGATTTCTCTTAGCTAAGTGCAATATCGCATGCAGTTTTTAGAAGGAAAGCCTGTTTGGTACTGGCTATGAAGAAGCAATGCTTGTCTGGATTAATTCCAGACACGTTGTTTTTTGGTTTTGTTGTTCTTATTTTTTTTTGCCACACCCCTT